CGCCGGGCCGGGCTGCGCACTTGACCCCAGTCTGTACATCAAACACCTGGCACATTGTCCTGAGCACCAGCTCTTGCTCATCGCCCCCTCTCCCTTCCACACCCCCCTGCGACCGGAGGGCACGCGCGCCCCCAGGCGCCCTTCGGGCATCCCAGCTCCCCGCCAGCGAACCTAAAAGGCGCGGGTGTTAGAGCCTTAAAGGTCTTGGGGACTTGGGGATACAGCCTTCCTGAGGATGGCCCTGGAAAAGGGCAGCAAGGCAGTAGAAAACCCGGTCCGGGACCCTAGTGAAGGAGGGTGGCATTTGACTCTCAGGGGACTCAGTAAATGATTGCTGAAGGCTTGCTAAATGCCTGGCACATACACAATTGTCCTTGTAACCAGGCATTTCTACACCTGTGATGCAGGCCAGGAAGCAGGTGCCTAGAGGATTTAGGAGACTGGCACAGTCAGAGCTTGGAAGGAGCTCTTCCAGGGCCCAGTCCTTTGCCTCTCAGGGTTGACTGGGGTTCCAGGAGGTTCTCCGCAGAAGCACAGCTCGTGATGAGAGAGGGCAGCCCTGATCACAGAGCCTTACTCACCTCCTGTGGAATCCTGATGGAGGGACCTGTGTTCCCGGCTGCCCAGGATGCTAGGGCACAAGGTCATTTCCTGTGCCTTCTCCTGAAGGAAGGTTGAGATGTTGTGCGTTCACTTTTAAAGTGACAAGAGCTCACTGCCGTCGAGTTGATGGCATCTGACAGCAACCCTACAGGACAGGGTGGCACTCCCCTGTGTGTTTCCCAGGCATGGAACTATGGGAGTAGAAAGCCCTCTCTTTCAAGGAGCAGCTGATGGTTTCAAACTGCTGACGTTGAGCTTTGCAGTCCAATGCATAGCCACCCTGCCACCAGGGCCCTCAAGAAGGAAGGGGACAAGTAGTGACAAAACCACCGAGCAGGCACAGAAAGATACCTGTGTGTGTGTGCGTGCTCACGTGCCTGAAGCCCTCATGCTGCCCACTTCGCCCTGTGTCCAGACAGCATTGTCCCCTGCCCCCTTCTGAGGTCTCCATTGCCCCACCTGGAATAGAGGGGCCTCACCTCTATTGTCCTGAAGACAGCCAAACCCCAAAACACCAAACACTTCTACCAGTCGATTCTGACTCGTCGCAACCCTGCAGGACAGAGTAGAGCTGCTCGGGTGGGTTTCTGAGATTGTAATTCTTTCTGGAGAAGGAACCCTCCTCTTTCTCCCTCGGGGACGTTGGTAGTTTCCAACCGCTGGCTGACCTTGTGGTTAGCAGCCCAATGTGAACCACTACACCATCAGGGCTCTTGGGAGACAGCAGTGCTACCATTTTGGTCCCCAGGGTTGGATGGAGACTCCCTGAGTTCAAGACCCGGTATCGGAACATGGTGCAGAGATTTGGGCCTGCAGTGGGTGGGAAAAAGGACCCTGTTGATAAGACACCACTCTCCCTCTGTGACTTTAGTGAGCTGTGACGGCTTGCAGGTTTTACTATGCTGGCAGTGAGGCCACTGGTGTTAAATCTCAGCAGGGTTGCTCCCGGTGGACAGGTGTCAGGAAGGTGTCTAGTTTAAGACAGATGAGGAAGCAAGGTCCTGGTGATCTACTTCCAAAAAAAAAACGAGTCCGTGAAAACCCTATGGAGAAACACCCCATAACCCCCACCCCCCACCCCACCGGCAAAGCCCGAGAGCGCGCTGGTAGCCTTGCATTCTCTGCCTCGGCTCTGCTGTGGGGAGCCTGGCTGCTGCAGTGCATTACGTCATGGGCTGTCACCCACAAGAGGGGCCATCCAAAACCACCGAGTGAGCCAGAGGAGACTTTCTACGTCCGTAAAGAGTTACAGTCTTGGAAACCCATGGGGGCAGTTCTGCCCTGTGTAGAGGCTCGACTCCTGTCTGACAGTGAGTTCGGGGTTTGGCTTTGGAGCTCCACTGTGACCTTGACTCTGAGCCAGCCACTGCATCTCTGGGAACCATTTCCTCGGGGTCAGGTTCAAAGTCCAAGAAGAAGGAAGCGAAGAAGGGGCCTGCCCACCACACTGACTGCTGGTGTGACTTGGGACAAGTCACTGGGCTCCCTGACCTCTGTTCCCTCGGATATATATGCAGGAGACCCCCAAGGGCTGTTCAGTCCCAGAGGGTTCTTGTCACCTGCCCTCTCTGGGCCAGAAGGTGGGGGGTGTCTCTCCTGAGAAAGTGGGCACCGGGTGGCTCCTTGGGCTTTTCTCCGGCTGGACTTCCCCATGGTCTCAGGACACCTGTCCCAGGTGCCCGTGTCCAGTGTCCAGTAAGGGTAGGGGTGAGGGGGCACTGTCCAGTCACCTTCTCTGCTCCCTGCTGTCTGTGTCCAGGGTGTTGGCGACGGCCAAGTCTGCCGTTTGTCCTTCACAGGCTGGGCAGCCACGGCGTGGGCGTGGGGAGGGGACGTTAATGTCAGGTTTCCCCGATGCGGGAACAAGTTTGGCAGCTGTGAGGCCTGAGGGGCCAGCCATCTCAGAGGAGCTTGGCGCCCACAGTCAGTCCTCACAGACGGACGGGAGGTCACTCCCTACCTCACCCCTGAGCTCCCTATTCTGAGCCTTTCATCCCTGAGCTCAAAGAGCTTCCTCAGCCTGGCAGGCATACACAGCAAAGGCATTTTATGGAAGGAGCTGGACCAGCCACACAGGGGCTCGGGCTGGATCCGGGTCACTAAAGTGGGCCAGCTGGGGCGCTAGACAGAGCAAGCATCTCTGATGGGCACACCCAGCAGGAGGCGGGGATTTTCCCTG